ATGGGGGCGATCTCTTGAGTAGGGATGGATAATTTTTTAATCAAATCCATGCTGATCAAATTTTGCTCAGCACCTGAGTCTACCAACGCTGAAATAGGGAGATTCTCTTGTATAGTCTGTATTATAGTTTTTAAAGTCAGTCTACCAGTGGAGGAGGAATTGGAATTGGAAGTACCCACCAGTATCTCTCTCTTTACTGGTGGGCACTCTCGTTTCCCCAAAACGGGTAATTGCGCAAATAATGTCCTGAGTTTCCACAGTACAAGCATAAATTAGAATTTCTGCGCCTCTGTTTCTCCTCCGGAGATAGGCGAGCCCGCCCCACCTGCATCGGCTCCAGTTCTGGTAATGCAGGCAGGTGAACCGCTGGTCCAATCGGTAGAGACAGCAAGCCGGAAACAAAGTCTCTCTGGGTTTTGTAGTTTAAAGGAGTGTATTTGTAGGTGTTGTGCTTACCTGCCGCTGTCATGAACCCAGAAGTGGGGAACCTCTGGTAGTTGTAGTTCCTCTCACGTAGACGTTCCCGGAAGCGTTCGTCGAGGCAAATAGCGAGGTTTATGAGGTCATCCAAGCTGTTAGGTTCATTGCGGCAAGCGATCTGGTCTTTAATGTCATCCGACAAGGAATGCAGAAATGTACCTTGTAATGAAAGCTCGTTCCAGCCGGTTTGAGCAGCGTTGACGCGGAACTCGAGGGCATGTTCGGATTCTGGTCGTCGACCCTGTTGTAACCCCAGAAGTTGCTTTACGGCGTTGGGTTGTTGCATGGGCCGGTCGAATATTCTGCAAGACTCTCTCAAGAAAACATCATATGGAACAGAGTCGAGATCATGAGATAGTAGGAAGGAGTTGGCCCACCTTAGCGCTTCACCCTTGAGTTGGCTGACAAAGTAAGTGATCTTAGAAATGCTGGATGTGTACAGTTGGAGGGCTCCCTTAAATGCTAACTTGCATTGAAGGAGAAAGCCTCCACAATGCTCAGGGTCTCCAGGAAAAAACTCAGAAGGCTTTACCACCAATTGCTGTGCCGTGGGATTGCTCTCGGGGATATGGGCGGTAGCTCCAGACTCCTGGGGAACAACAGGTGCTGTAGAGGATGAAAGTCTTTGATTGATTGAAAACACCATGCCTCCTAGTTCTTGCATGTTAGACTGAGTGGTTTGTTGTTGCAATAAGAGTCGTTCAAGCATGCTTTCTAATTTGTCAATTCGCTCTCCCTGAGAAGTAGATGGAGCTTGCTCACTCCTGGTCTCGTTCTGGGTCTTGTTTGGCTGGAGCATTCTGTAATGATTTCAGGGAACCCAGATTGGTACGAGACCCAGAACGAGACAAGACTCCACTAGGTAAAATCTTTAACAGTGTTTATTATGTACAATTGAATATTTACAAGTGGTCCTCTGGAGTCCCTGGCAAACAAGAAGGAGGTCAGGTGGGTTGGAGTGAGGGTCAAATCTCGCAGCTTGATAATACTTTATTTTTCTCTTACAGGTTTGATGTTTGGGTAGAGCGTAGAGGTGAATCCAAATGGTTCCAGAGAGAGGTGAAGCGGCACGGCAGGCAAGTGGTTGGAGGGCCAGGCACGAGGATGAGGAACAGAACCAAGGCAGACCAGGACCTGAAGGTATCCGAGGAGGCAGGACGACTGGGAACACAGAGAACAAGGTAAATAACTCTATATATATCAAAAGGACGGGCTGGAGGCATAAATACCATGGAAAGCACAATGCTCCAGCGAAGAGTAGAACTCGACTGCTGCCTTAAGTAGTCGAGACCTCATCATGGAGATGGCCGACAGCTGGTGGCAATTAGCGGCCATCTTGGAGAGAGGAGCAGCAGTCTTTAGTACTCTTAAATATATATATGAATATACATGTATATGTATATATATGTATGAATAAGGGGAGTGGTGGCGCAGAGGTTAGAGAGGTGGGCCTGTGATCCGAAGATCGCCGGTTCACGCCCCGGCCCCGACAACATCAAAAAAATTGTGGGTGGGGTAGGTGAAACACACACACTTGCCCCCACCCTCATTCGCCCCACTCTGGGCCCATGAGCAAGGCCCTTAACCCCCACCATGTGCTCCCTAAACAGGTCTCTCTTGAAAATGAGTTCTCGTGGCTCAATAGACTACCTGTATAAATAAAGGCTAAACAAAAATAAAAAATATACATGTATATTTATATATATGTATATATATATATATATATGAATATATATGTATATATGTATATGTATGAATAAATGTATATGTAGATATATGAATATATATGTATGTGTATATATATATATCTATATATGTATATATGTATATGTGTATTTATATATATGTATATGTATATGTATATA